GGGTGCGGGAGCCTGCAGCATGCAGCGTTCACAGGAAAAAACCAGCTCTGATTAACAAGACAGCCCACATGGGCTGTCCTTGAGGTCCAAGAAGTCAAATTAGTAGTAAACAAAAGCCTTCTAAGAAATAAATGGAAAGAAATAAAAGTAGATTAGAGACAGGAGAGGGCAGGAGGGAAGCACTGGAAAGGGACCCCAGGACTGTCCCGTGGCAGCAATCAGAAGAATTTCAGCTGAGCCCAGTGGAAACGGAAGATGAAACCAAATCAGAGCTGGGCTAAGTGGATTCCTTTCCTGGAGGAGGCTGGAGCCTAACTGAATCTGTAATAAATCTCTGTGTCTGAAGCTCCTCTGATTTCTGTTCAAACTCAGTCTTCAAAAACCTTATTCAAATGATTTCATTCCATTATTTCCAGGGTTTCTAAGACAAGAAAGAGCATCCCAGGGGTGCCTGTCTGAAGATGACATCAGTTTCAAAAGGCAAAGAGTATAGCCTCCCTTTTCCCTCTCCAGGTTAACCGAGTCCTGAGAAAGCTCAGGAAAGAAAGACTTTCTGCAGGAAGACACTGACCTGCTTCTAGACTCCCAGGTCACGTGAGTTTTCCTAGGGATGGATACATTCAGGCCATCCCTCCGCTAGCAAATGCTCAGCAAAGGTCATGAGAAGATCTGGTCCATTAACCATAAACAGCTGAACAGCAGGGTCGGGGGAGGCTTTTAAAGTCTTCTATCCATTACCAAAATCCATTCATTCAAGCATGTCTTTAACAGAGCTCGCTGTATTGGGGGCCTGTGTGTCTATGTTAGGTGGCACCAGAAGACACAAAAGGAATGTAAGGTCCCTTGAGGAATTCCCACTCACCTTGGGGAGCAGGCATAGAACATAACTGTTCACCAGAGGAACCACCGTGTACCCCAAACTACAAACACAAGTACTGAACAGGCCAGCTAGTGGGAGAGTGATCAGAACAAGCGTTCCTGTAACAATACCCATCTGTAATCACTTCAAAATGCTAGAGATTGGCCAGCACACTCTTGCGCATTGCCTCGCTTACTCCTCAAAACAACTCTGTGGGATAGCTATCAGCCTCCTTTTACAAATGAAATTATATTCAGAGATGAATGCAAATGGTAGGACTGGAACCTGGACGTACTGACTCTAAATCCTTGCACTCTTTCTACGACTCTGCCAGGAGTGCACGTTTGCTCCCTGGCTGACCATCAGACCTCGGCAAGAGACACAATGACTTGTAGAGACACATAGCAAGTTTGGGTAAGGCCACCATTTAACCCCAGGCCTCATGACAGATAATCTGACGCTGCTCCCAGAATACCTTTCAACTGGCATCTATCGGGGTGCATGCCTGAGCTTCACCTTGGTACCAAGAGCAGGAAAAGCTAACATGATTACCAAGAGAAGCTTCTGAAAGAGGCAATGCAACCTCATCAGAAGAGTACGAGGGCAGCAGAACAGACCTGGGCATGAGGGATGGAAAGGGCAGTAAGAGGGTCATCAGAAGGGCTGGTGATGGTCAGTACCATCAGCCCAGGCCACATTATCCTGAAAACCCATAGCGAGATGTCTGTCTGGGTTTGTTCAGGCTTGTCCTCATACCTGGGGATTTTAGATGTCTCCTTCAAGAGTTCTGTGTGCAATGGCAATGAACAAAGCTTCACGGAAAGAAAAGCAGCAATCTAAATCTTCTCCCTTATTTTCCCCAAGTTGGCAACAGGAGTTCGGCTAGAGCTTAAGGGATTTCTACACACTGATCTTACTAGACAGCCTCATCTATTTAATTGGACCAGTCTAGAGGGAAAGAACAGAGCCTTGGTTTCTGGCCTGGATTTAATGACTTGTACATGTTTATTTCCTCCATTAAATTGTACACTCCATACTGATTTTTTTTGTTTTTTTGTTTTTTTGTTTTCTTTTTTTTTGAGACAGAGTCTCACACTGTCGCCCAGGCTGGAGGGCAATGGTGTAATCTCGGCTCACTGTAACCTCTGCCTCCTGGGTTCAAGCGATTCTCCCATCTCAGCCTCCTGAGCAGCTGGGATTTCAGGCACCCGTTATCATGCTTGGCTAGTTTTTGTATTTTTGTAGAGATGGGGTTTCATCATGTTGGCCAGACTGGTCTTGAACTCCTGACCTCAGGTGATCTGCCTGCCTCGGCCTCCCAAAGTGCTGGGATTATAGATGTGAGCCACTGCACCCAGCCTGGGTCTTATCCAAAGTAGCAGAAGTATTTGATCACCGTGTTGAATTAAATTGAACAAATACACCTGGCTTTGCCTCCTGTGACTTTCGGGGAGCTCTTGCATGTCTCCAAACCTGAGCACCTTCATTTTTCAAATAGGAAGGAATTCCTGTTTGTCCCGCTGACCTCATACAGCTGTCATCTGTCATGAGGACTAAGTATGATCACGTATCATGTATGTACGAGCAGTATTCATAGTTTCTAGTCCCATATAAACACAAAGGTCTAGTTTGATCACTTATGAACATTTGCTTGCAGGTGGCCCTGTGTTGGGTATATTGTACATTAGGAAATTTCCTGTACGTCATTTTTCTGTCAAGACTTTCACACAGTAAGCCCTTAATAAGGATCTTCTGTACCTCGCTGATTCGACTGGCTAAGTACCCCCCAGACCAGAAAAGGAAAGTTCTTCGTGAGGCTGCAACAGACAGTGTGGTGTTCTTCCCCTAGCCTGGGTAAACATGCCAGACATGAGAAAAAGAACAGGAAGAGCTGAGTGCCTTCAGGAAATCCGAGTGTTACTCCTGTTGGCCACATGCTGACTTTATTTAAAGATCAAATAAAGGCACTCTGGCTAGCATTCGGCAAAAATGAGCACGGGGGAATCTTATTTTTAAGAATCCCTCAGGCATTTGTCATTTCTCTCAGGTCCATGTGGGCGGCTGCCAATGTTATGGGATCAGCCGGCCCCTGGACATGCCCTGAGCAACCCTGATGCCCGATCCTTCCACCGCCACTCTTCCGCACACAAGGGCATGGCGGCCCAGAGGGTCCTGTTAAAGTGTCAAGTGCTTCCTATGATACCCACACACCAGGTCTCCATATGACCCACCGGTGCCTGGCTAGGTGGGCATGTGAGCTCTCCTTTGGAAGGGTCATGGACTGGAGGAGAGGGAGTTCTGCTGAGGTGGGAAAGCCAGACAGCAGAGAGCCCTGGGCTCCTCTGGGCAGAGGAGACTCCTTAAGCGGGTGAAACTAACCATCGTGTTTTAACAAGGTATTCCAACCCTAAACCAGTTCTCCCATTTAGTTTCTTGACACTTACTGCTAGAACCATATTCACTGACTCCTTCCCCTCCTCCTTCCTCCTTCCTCCTTCCCCCAATAACGAATACTTCCTAAGTTCCAGATCCCTTCATGGCACTGAGCTGGTTACCGAGATAACCACGAAGCCCTCACGTTCTCCTGGGGGCAGGGGTAGGGGTGGCCATCAGGTATGCCTACTGCGATGTGAAAAGGGCTCTCCTGGCAAGGTGGGCAGAGAGCTGCAGGGGTAGGATGGCAAAGTAACACTGGAGTTAGGCCTTAAGGGATTACAGAGTTCTGTCAAGCCCAGGGGGTTGTGATGGGGAAGGCGTTTAAGGCAGAGGAAATAGCTGTGTGAGGACAGAGGAGTGAGAAGTTCAGGGTCACGGTGGGTCCTGGTGAGCAGCAGTGAGCACTGGGTGGGTGGAAAGGGAGAGAGGAAGGGCGGGGAGAAGAGGCTGCAAAGCTGAACTGCCACAAAGAGGGTCAAGGGCTTGCCGTGCAAGGGATACAGACTGTTCTGTGGGCAATGGGGAGGAGGCACAAACGAGTTGACCTTGTGGAGAGGGCACAGGAGCAGTGGTGTTCTGAGGCTGGTTTGCACCAGGGTGCAAGAGTAATTGTTAAGATTATTTTTACAAGAAGGTTGATTTTACATTTAAAATCAGCTGTGGTTGGCATGCCTGCATCACAGAAATAGGCAAATGTCACAAAGCAGGTTTTTTTTCCAGAGTGGTTGTTAAACATTTACCAGCACACATTGGGCATGCGTGTGTATGCATGCCCACATATGTAGAGTTGCTAACCAATAACAAAAGGGTTCAGCAACTGCAGAAAAAAAGGATGCCAGGCAGAACTACGTGAGATTTTGGCACACTCACCAGTCTGAGATTCTTCATTGCTTGGGGAAACATGCCTTGATGTAGCTGCAGTTTGCCAACTTTCATCACTTGAACCCCTCTGACGGGATGGCTTCCTGGGAAAAAAATCCTGGAAGAAACCACACAGCAAACAGTGTCAGCAGCTCTCACCTTTGCAGTCAGCATTTCATCAGGAGACTATGAAAGTAGGAGCAAACACCAGCTGTGAATGTCAATGAGGAAATTAGTTTTGCAATCCAGGAGAATGCAGTACTGAGGGGAATTAACACACAATCCACAATCGGTCTCCAGCTCCTCCACGTTTTGTGTTAGAGAAAAAAAATGATAGGACTAGAAGGTCCCCCTCATAAACACTAGAGAAGAGAAACAAAAGTTTGGAGCTCTGCGTTGCTATTTGGGAGGGATGCGCCGGGGAGAACAGGTGCTAATCTTCTCCTCCAGGCTCCTCCATGAAGCGCTAGCACTAGCAGAGCCCTGGAACAGAAGATTGCCTCTCAATACATATTTGTTGAATAAATAAAGTTTTCATGATCCCCCAACTAGATACTACCACATCCCCCTTTTAACCGCAAAGCCCTCTGATTGAATCTCAGCTGTGGAGTCCACCATGGAACACCTTTCTTATAAGCACGTGTGTATTTATTTATCATCTCACTGGATTATAATGCCTTTTATTCAGGCACCCCATCTGCGTTCTCCATGACGTCTGACATGCAGGAGGAACTCCATCCATGCTGGACCCCTTTCACATAGAACAGAATAGAATATGGTGTTGTCGTGGACCAAAGAAAGGACTGCACACACCTCCAGCTACCGGGTGTTCAGACCCTGTGATGAGCTGTATTACTTCAATTCAACAAGAATTTACCACCTTGAATTTAACCAAATACGAGCAGTTTGGCCTGTTCTGGCACCAATACCCTCTACCCCTACTCTTAGAGAATAATGAGGCCCTGCTGTATACGCACAATTGTCTCTGGGGGAAATGCCTACACACACACACACACACACACACACACACACACACAACCACAGTTTAGATGAGCTTTTCAGGCCAGGTGTGATGGCTCCCACCTGTAATCCCAGCACTTTGGAGGCTGAGGCAGGCGGATTGCTTGAGCTTAGGAGTTTGAGACCAGCCTGGGTAACATGGCAAAACCCTGTCTCTATAAAAAATACAAAAATGAGCCAGGTGTAGTGGAGCAAGCCTGTAGTCCCGGCTACCTAGGACGCTGAGGTGGGAGGATCACTCGAGCCCAGGAGGCTGAGGCTGCAGCTTCACACCACTGCACTCCAGCCTGGGTGACAGAGTGAGACCCTGTCTCAAAAAAAGAAGCTTTTTCCTTAAGGCTGAATCATCCCATTAGACACAAGACACACATTCCTGCAGGAGTTAAAACAAGGCTACACGACGGAGCATGAGTCAGCGCCCAAGCAAGGCGTAACTTCATGTACGCTAGATGTTCAAGTTTGTTGGATTGAACTGAGAAAATGATACAAGTATTGTGAAGACAAAGAGGTGACTGACGGCTGGACCGGGAAGGCTTCCTGGAGCAGGGGAACTGGACTTACACTGGCTCCCAAGGATTTGGAGAGGCTTGGCTGGGTAGGAGAAGGGAAGTGTATCCCAACCGTCAGAGAGAACGAGCCAGGGCTCACTCTAAATGCGGCTTCTCCAGGGACAGAGGTGCCTGCCCACAGACATCAATAAGATAATCCTAGAATCCATCAGTTATACAGGGCTTGCCATGTGCCAGGCACTGTTCCAACTGCTTTTCATCCATGAACCCAGAGAACCCCATCTAAGCTCTATGATGTAATAGTGATGAGGCAGATTTACCAGGAGAGACAGGTATGTTCTCTGACAAGTGCACACATATCTGCAAACCATTCCCTCTCGCTGAATCTTAACTCTTCCCCCCACGAAATGTGATATGGAAACATTTGTTTTCATTCATGCTCTTAAAAAAGTAGAAAGCAGTACCTGGGAGGAAAGTATTTAAACCGACAGAAGATTGGGCATGCCTCTTAAAAAGCTGAAAAGGGCCTAGGCACAGTGGCTCACACCTGCAGTCCCAGCACTTTGGGAGGCCGAGGCGGGCAGATCACGAGGTCAGGAGTTTGAGACTAGCCTGGTCAATATGGTGAAACCCCGCCTCTACTAAAAATACAGAAATTAGCTGGGCATGGTGGCACGCGCCTGTAGTCCCAGCTACTCGGGAGGCTGAGGCAGAACTGCTTGAACCTGGGAGGTGGAGGTAGAGGTTGCAGTGAGCTGAGATCGCGGCACTGCACTCCAGCCTGGGCAACAAGAGCAAGATTCCATCTTAAAAAAAAAAAAAAAGAAAAAAAAAGCTGAAAAGGGAGCAGAAGGGGGAACAACAAAGGAGACACCTGGGTCCTGGATTTTTCTTCATCACGTTACCTCTCACCCCTTACAAAATGAACATCATTATCTATTTGTGTAGAAATAACTTTAAGATTCCCAGACAAAGGGCGTAAGTGCAGGACGCCATTATCAGAGGGTAATTGCCCTGGTCACTTTCCTTGAAAAGCACACCTGGATTTGGGGCGTTATATTATTGCTATGAATGTGGCATCATTAAATTTAAAGGTCAAAAAGTGATTTTACACTAATAATCACTCCACAAAGTGGATGTCTGTCACGTCAGTTAGAAGAAGGAAAGAAAATTTCAGTTCTACAACAGCAGAGAAAGCGGTGCGTCATTACGCCATGACAGGTACCTGCCCCGGTCACTCGGATATTTCTAAATGAAGTAGAGCTTACTAAGGGGAGCATGAGGAAGCGCCTGTAACGGGGGACTTCCAAATAAATATTTACAGGGCAGTCTCACAGCTCTGGGGGGCTGCCGACTGCGGGCCTGGTTTTGTTTCTGGAGGCCTCCCAGCTGCAATACAGAATAAAACTCGTGATTTCTTGCTGGAGTATAGCTCCAAGGAGAACTGGTCAAGCTCACTCCTGCTGGGAGATTCTCCAAGGGTGTGGCCTTCCATCCACTTTATGGTGTAGAGCAGGGATGGGGAGAGAAGAGGGCCTGGAGGTAGTGGTCTTGACAGGACAAAAAGACAGTCATCTTTTTGATAGGACTGTCAAAAATAAAGACCAGGATTACAGTCCAAAATGAAGCAGCAATCAGGTGTGTCCAAGGACTGTGAGGACTAAAGCAGGAGTCGGAGTGAGAAGGTGAGGGGAAGGTGCACCTATGAGATGCTGGATTCCGGGTCCGGCCCCGTAAGCTATCTGCAGAAGTCCAAAGTGAGTCCCTGCCCTTGGTTAGCATGCAGTTTGCAGGTGAAGCAAATGAAATCATGATACAGAAAGGCGTGTGACAGCCACCTGACCAGGGCACAGACAATGTGTGCTCTGGGAGCAGCCGGGACCACAGTGATCAGTGGAGTGGCAGAGTTTCAGCAGGTTTCCACTGGAGATGATGGGATCCTGGGACAAGGGAAGGGATGGATGCTTGCTCTGGTGATGGGATGGGAGGCTGAATGCCAAGGGGCAGTGAGCATGCTGGTCCGGCCAGCAGAGGAGGGGAGTGGGGAAGGAGGTGCACTGGAGGCCAGGCTGTGCAGAGGCACACGCACAAAGCTAGAACTCTGGACTTCCCTTGCCAGCAGTGAGGCACTATCAAAGCGGGCTGAGGATATTTCATCAGAATAGAAAACCAAGAACATTGGAAAACAGACCCTAGAGGCAAAAAGACTTGAGGTAGGATGGTGGCAATATCAACAGAAAAGAAGGACTTGGTAAAAGAAAGGTTATGTGGGTGATTTAACAGAATCTGGGGACCCAAGGGGGTGCAGTGGAGTCTGAGCTGACTCCGTGATTCAGAAATAGAAACACCTCCACAAAAACATACAAGCAAAGCATATAATGAAATCATTCAACAAGGCAGTTTGTTTGCGTGTTATAAATTTTCCTTTCATAGGTATAATGCTAGCAATCACATGTTCCAGAATGCTTGGCCTAGATTGGAAAAAAATGTTTTAGGTGTTTCTATGGTGAATAAGTGCATAAGAAGAAATGGGTTTAAACACGCAGAGAAAAGAAGGAAATGTGCACACCAGCTTTAACTCAGACCCATAAGCACCAAGATCTTACTGATATATTTCATAGGGAGGCTGAAGGTCAGGGACCTGGGATCTGAAGTCAAAAGGTCATGGAGAAGAAATATCTCAGAGATTCTGCCAGGCTGAGGTTGCTGATCTCTATTGGTTCTATGTGACGCAATTACCAATCGCATTATTCAGATAGCAGCTCTGGCATTTACAGGGTAGGAAAACGCCTTTGTTATTCAGGGCTACTGCTCTGGTTTGAATGTGTTCCCTCCAAAATGCAGATGCTGAAACTCAATGGCCACTGTGGCAGTGTTTGGAGGTTGGGCCTTTAAGAGGTGATTAGGTCACCAAGGCTCCTCCCCTTGCGAATGGGATCAAAGCTCTTATAAAACAGGTTTCACGAACGGTTCAGCTTGTTTGCTTTCCACCGTGCAAGGACACAGTGTTCCTCCCCTGCAGAGGACACTGCTTTCCACCGTGCAAGGACACAGTGTTCCTCCCCTGCAGAGGACACTGCTTTCCACCGTGCAAGGACACAGTGTTCCTCCCCTCCAGAGGACATAGCAACAAGACATCACCTTGGAAATGGAGAGCAGCCCTCACCAGACAACCTGCTGGCTTGGATTTTATGGCTTGAACTTCCCAACCTCCAGAACTGTGAGGAAAAAAAAAAAAAATTCTGTTCTCTGTGAATTACCGTCTATGGTATTTTGGTATAGCAGCACAAAGTTAAGACAATTATTTTTAAAAAACTGATCCAAAATATATTACTGAACCTGAAAGGAGAACTTAATCTGCCTGTTTAGATTGTATTTTAGAGCCGCTAAATAGCTCCAGTTGTATGAATTTTAGCTGATAAATGTGGAATGAGGATGGAATTAGAAAAATCATTTTGCAACTCCTGGAGAATTATTTGGCCGAGGGGAGAAAATATCACTCGATGAAACCATTAGATAAAAGGATAGTAAAGAATTGTATAGTGGATGGATTAATTTGTTACCACCTGAATCCACTGATCAATCTTAG